GTCGCTACGGAAACAGCCTCCTTGTATAATTACAAGGGTAAGGTCTGCGTACAACTAATCCCCCAGACCCCAACCAGTTGGGAATATAATGGGTATGTTGTTGTTGTTGAAGCAAGCAAATAAAGCATCATGGTGCAGCAAGATATTTACAGTAAACCAGAATTGAGAACTAAATGTAACTTTTCCTCTTGTGGTAAAACGAAATCTATCTCCCAAGACTGTAAGATAGAAAGCTCGGAAAAATGTGCCAGCAAATTACACCTTTTTTTCATGAACAAAACCCGAATCATTTGCAAGAACCAACAGGTCTTGTAGAGTGAATAGAGACTGCTAATCTTCAACATGCCTAACAAACCCTTGTCTAAAAATGCAAAATTAACATCAAATATTGTTAAAATGAAAAACATGAGAAACAAACATAAGGAAAGCGAACAAAATATCAGGAACTTCCAATTAAAAAGCTAAATTGATAATAGAAAACAAGAAATCAGTTAGGAGGTATGTGCGAACCAAAATTTAGTGCATGCATTACAACTGCTACACTAGATACATTAGTGCTACAACTTGTGAAATTAGAAAATTAAGGAGTTACCGGATACTGGTTTGTCCACCTGCAATCAGCACAAAAAGGCATCTATGTTAGACATGAAATCAGAAAACATTAGAAAGAACACTTAAACATGATATTTACATGCTAGATTAGCATAGGTTTGTGCAATAAGGATGTGATCTCTGACAAAAGGTCAAGAAAAGAGCAACCAAGTATTGAATATCTACCGCATACTCATTATATTCTTCTACTAGATTACTACGTCCCAACAAACAACTTACCTAGGCTCAATTTCTTAATCACAACTTGTTATTAGTTAATAGCTCTTAAGCCTCATATATACCAGCAGGTTTCAAGTATGAAATGCTATCATGGTAGCCAAAACACTTATATGTTCCCCCACGGCAATACAGAATATGACACACTTCAGCTATACTCTGGTACACTAATATCAGCCCAAATACATAGTTCTATGTGCTAAACAAGACCAGACAAATCATTCAGGTTAAAGTGAGAAAGCATACCTAGATCCCAAACTTGAAACTTTATGTTGTTGTATTGCACAGTTTCAACATTGAACCCGATTGCTGTAAACACAACATGTAACCCGTTAACCATCACGAATACAAGCTCAGTTGTTTCATATATACATCTAGGTACTTCAAATGTGATAGATCAAATAATAGAGAATCAAGAAACAAAAGCTTAGTCACACAGTACAGGTCCAAATAAATTATCCTCATTCTCATCCATTATAAACTTGAGCCCATTAGGACTCCAAAATAATGTAACCCCCACACATACACACACAGCTATTCAAAATTCGAAAGGAAATTGAGAAGCTAAAAAGTGAAACCCCTTACTTGGAATGGTGGAGACGACTTCACCCATCTGGAGACGATCTGCAAAAAAAACAGCAATTGAAAAAGATGTCAAACCCTAGGGCAAGACGCGAATCAAAATTCACATCACGAGAATTTACAGAAATAAAAATGAATACAAAATCGTACAAAGGATGGTGGTTTTTCCGGCATTGTCAAGCCCTAGAACGAGGATCCGAGCTTCCTTGTTTCCAAACAGGGACGAGAACAGCCGCGTGAAAACTATTCCCATTCCTCACGTTCACGTTCGATGCGATGACTGTAACAGTATACGGAAAAACACAATCACGCGCACAAAAATAAATGAAAAAAAAAAACAGATCGGATCTGAAAAAATTATCAGAAGCCCGTTGTCCTTCCTTCCTGCAGACAAGAACAGATGAATGTGATCGATAATGAGGTGATTATTAACTGTAACTGAGCATGAATTGAGAGAGATAGTAATTGAGTACCGTGAAGGAATGTGAGAATCTGTACGAGACTTGAGAGGGGTAAATTTGAGAAATAGGGAAAGCCATGCCGATATTTATTAATTGGGTCTCCTTTGCTTGTTTCAGAATATTGGAAACTTCGAAATGAGAAGAATGT